TCAGATTCCAGAGCGACACGTCGAACTTACATGAAAATACACTCTTGGAGGGCGCCGAACGAGGTGTGGGCGGGTTAAACGTACACAGTGCCGGAAAGTTTTAACGCGCCCATTACTATAATGGAGGTGGAGAAAACGAGGGATGGTAAGGCTAAAGTGTACGCGCTAGCAGAACCTCCAATGATATTATATGTGATGACAGGAAAATACTTATGTGTGTGTGAAGAGGGTGGATGGAATGAAAAACCGAGCAGAAAATCGGTCCTACGGGAATAAAAGCAATAGGTGCTGTATACCATTTTAGCGAGCAAATATATCAATATTGAAGTAGGCTATTGAAATTCTCATTACCCGCCGGCTTTTCCGCGACAACAGTTATTAATACATTTACAATTCTGCTGATGTATTTTGTGGTTTTAGTTAATCGTCAATTAAACTTAATTCATAATGCTGCTATTGAAATCTCAGGGATTCGCTGTTAAAAAAAAGTAAAATTTAAAACTGGTGAATTATTTTTATTGGATATAAACGTGCCGTTAGAAATAGTTATTTCGAATGTATACAAAGATATTTGAAAAGTACTAAATATTTCAACTGAATTATTTTATGTATTTTAGCTGTAAAATATTGACGATTTTTGTTCGTTTCATAAATTATATCGGTGAAAATGTGTAGATAGTAAGACCTATATAAATATCTTATTTCGCTTGCTTGTTCTACTGACATAATACTTTACAGGTATTCAAATACGAATTAAAATAATTCGTAATAATCTATTAAATCATACAGTCGTTCATTATGATAAAAAATTAATTAAACAAAACGTTAACGGCGTAAGAGGTTCCCGTGACTATTCGATACCCAACAAAGACTGGGCCGATTATGCACAACATTGAAATCTGTGCACGTGCGAGCACACCACAGATTATGCCGATTGCTAAACTCATATGACCGTATTTTATCGTATCTGTAAACACTGGCGACCGCCATACGCAGGCGACAAAGCATGAAATCGAAATCAAATTGAATCTTTTTGGAGATCCGCGAGTAAACATTTGCCATCTACCAGCAGCTCTTTTGCCGTTCGCGTAGAGCGTTTTAGAGCGTGCGGCACGTCATGTATTTACCACCGTATATTACGCCCCTGGGCTATTTGCACCCAACCCCTTTGGTACTTGTGCTTTGAAGAACGTTTGTACGTACATATTATTATTATTATTGTTGTTGTTATTATCGTCATCATTGTCGAAAAAACGACGTCTACCGCTGCAGGTGATTCTCGAGTTGTCGGCGACGAACAGCATTGCGACTACCGTACGATTTGTTTGAGTTGAGAACGACAGCCTGGAGGACGAAAAAATAATCGTGTCGTGGGAGCTGTTATGAAACAGACAGGCTTGGGGCGTACTAAATAAATAAAATCGGCCGGTCGCTTTATGTACATGGACACCATGCAAAACGATTGTTTATATTCCAAGACCGTGTTATCGTGTCATCGTTCTCCTCGATAGTCTATCGAACAATAGCGATGTTTTCAAGGGTTCGTAAAAGGCCACGGAAAAAAGTGAACATTCTAAACAAAATGTTATTCTCTGTTTATTTTGATTTCGTCATGTTAATTCTTTTAATGGCTTCTGGCGATTATCATTTCTTTGTGTTTCCCACTGATATTATTTAGATAACAAAACCCTATTACCTGCGTTACAGCTTCTAGGGATCGGATGCCACACAAATTTTTACGGTACTATATGGTTGCCCGGAGCACAATGATGGCGGATATGTTGTTTGTCAGACTGTAATGTTATTGGAGCTTACTTATGCGATGAGTACCTGAATGATTGTTCTTGAGAATCCGCACACTTGATATTTTGCTTACGGGCATCTAGAAGACCTGATGATAAATGTCGTTCAGAATTTACATTTTAATGAGTGTAAGTAGGCGCGTTCCCGAAATCAGGGGGAGGGCGATGCTGGTAATCGCCCCTTCCATAAAATGTTTTTAATGAAAACAATAATAGTATGTGTGCCTATAATAGTAGACACATAATTTTTTTCTATAAAGGAGAAAAAATTATAACTCAATATATAGCCGTTGTTAAATTGAATTATTTTTAATAAAACATTATTACACTTTGTTGTTTAACTTACCTATAATTTATTTTTATACTGATTTTTCATCATTATGTTTTAAAGTTATAAATTCAACATTTATACAAGTTGCAATTATCTTAATAACAATTGTTAAAGTGTTTTTTCGTCTAATACTATAAGATTTATTATATTGTATTATTAGTCATATTATGAATATTAATACAATCTATTTCTAATCTCACATAGTTAGATAACATTAATGAATAGATAAAAATAAGGCTGGCATATTATTTCGAGCATAACGAAAAAAAAATTGAAATTAGTATTTGAAACGGAGCACCACAAATTTCATACTTCTTTGTGCCAATTATTTTCAAACTAGTCCATCTAAATATTTAAAATTTGCCTCTCTCTCATAAAGTTTATCAAAAGACACCCTAGATTGTAAATAATTAAATATAATTATGTCGAATATGTGAATTTTAGGATTATTTCAAAATAATCTTAAGAGTAGAAAGTGAAAAATATTACTAATGACAGTCAGAACTTTTCATAATTGCTCACATAGTCTATTCAAAAAAATAATACAATAATGAAAACAACGAGTATGAATTACATTAAAATGAATATTAAACTTTTACTTTTACAGTATAATTAAAAAATAAATATCTAATGTTCATCTATTATTTGTGATGATGAGAAAAAATATGCTTACAGACATGTTGGCGAGGTAAAAACCTATTTCGAATATATCAATACATATATAATTATGATCGAACAAAACATATAAGTTTAACTGTTGAAATGTTGATACACTAATTTCTCAATTTTGCCAGACACAATTCTGTTTTTAACACGAGTATGGTTTCCAATAAGTCTTAGTTTACTTATCCGATGTAAGGTTTCGGTAAACAAAGACGGCAGAACATATTGCTAATTTTTCATCTTTAAATATTGGTTTATTTAGCCTTAATGTCGTCTATAGGTCATGCCAATCGATTTCTATAATAAAAAACACGCGTACTTTCCACCTAAGCATTATTTTTTTACACGCCGCAGAAATTGAGCTAGAAACTAGGTAAACAAGTGTTTTCCATTATGTTTATTTTAATTTTCTTCTATTTCAATTAAAAAAATTAAGTATCACGTAAAAATCATGTGCATAATGTGCAACCCATAATTTTTTCTATGTGTATTTTCAAATAAAACTGTATGAATTTGATTTTTGGCGTAGATTTTAATAAACTGTCTGCTTATGCAAAACATAATCGTTAGCTAGCCCAATATAAATTATACATTTTTAATACGCCTCAAATCATTAATTGTTTCAAAAAGTATCTAATAACAAAATTATATAAAACGTCTATTTAATAATGAAAAATGTTTACAACATACGTGGTATTTTTTTATGTAATAAATAAACGTCACTCGACTATGATAATATTTTTCATTTAATCTTAATTTTTAACAATTACAAAACAAATATACATGTTTCTTATGACACTGTTGTGTAATACTCAAAATACATATTTGTATAATGTGTTGCACAACAACTTGGTACATATCGTACACATCGTATCTGTAGTTTTGTGTGCAAGTTTAGATTTGATTTTGTATAAATGATTCTCTTTGTGATTTCATTGTTGAGCACTTATTTCTTTAAAAAATTATTTATACATAGAATTTTTTTTTAATTATTGTTAGTAATTAAAATTACTCTTGATATTATAGTAGCATGTATTTATAAAATATGATTTTGTTTTTTTCTAGGACCACACGTAACAAATAACAAAAACTAAATTTAGTAAATATTATTTGTTAATTTTTAATAAAACCACTATATCAAAAGTTAAATAATCTTAGTACTAAAATAAATTAACCATTTGTTATATTATTTCATCTCACTGTAATTATTACTTTGAAAATGTTTTAGAATAGGATCAGTATGAAATATTAACATTTTTAGTTATGAGGTATTCTCGATGAATTACTCTATGTTTGAGATTTATAAAATGATAAGTATCAAAACATAATAATAATTAAATGATGTAATTAATGTTATATTCAAATATTGAAGCCATTCTACTTTTTTGTCCTACTCTCACGAGGTAACACTTTATTTAACTTAAGTTACAGTTTAAACACCAATTCTATATTATTTCTGAAGAAAATTTTATTGATATATTAAAAATCATTTCAATATTTAGTAATGAATTATGATTAGTTGTAATAATTTGTCTCCACCTCTCGTTCTAAAATGTACTTTTATTTATTAAATATTTATTTTGGCGTGGAATAAAATGGTGTCATGGTAACTCTTACCAGTATGAATTTCTTATTATCAAGTTATGCCCATATGATTATTTCCAAAAAAAATATTTTTTAATTTATAGACCTAAAATAATTAAGGCATGAGTGCATTTGCTTAAGATAAAGGTAGTAGCCTTTTTTAAAATTCCTTAGTCTATCATATGAACATGGTTGCCTTCTTAAAAAATTATTTCGTTACTCCCTTTGCTAAAGATAACTATTATTATTGAAAATTAGAAGCGAAACGCTTAATTATAATGTTAATCGTTTTGCTTTGCAATGAAAAGTACAAATATAGTTGGTTTGAGTAGGATTACATCATGAGCAAGTTATTTATAGTTAACAATGAATGCTATCTAACCTGTTAAGGATAATAAGAGATGTCGTACTTGTTATGTAATGTGAATTAATCTTTTTCATTTTTGTGTACACTATAATAAAACTTTAAGAAAAAGACAAATAACATTAACAAAATGATCATATTTATTTCTCTTATAAGTTTGAAATAACACAGCACTTATGTGGATCAATGTAAATTTTTAATTACATTTGATTTATGTTTTTGTCGATTATTATTCAGGACACTTTTACAAATTAAGAAAAAAAACAATATATCTATTTATTGAAATTTTTATGTAGAGAAATATTAAAAAAAGATCTACGGTATTTTATGAAATTATTTTTAATTAATAATTCTAAATAATATAATTTACCATCTATTCAATAAAAAGAAGTTAAGTATATACACAATTTGCAAAAATCTAATAGTATTTACATAAGAAAAACAATAGCGTATAATTATATCATTAATAATAATTAGAGTATTTGGTAACAAATTTTAAACTATTTACACAATAATAAAATCATATTAGTAAATTACACCTAAAATAGTCATATTATGCAACTAAGATTGAAAGTCTGGAGATAACGTTTACTCCTAACGAATAAAACTTATGTTTGCAATTGAACACTAACATTATGCCGGGTTTAAAAACTTACAACATTTTTTATTGCGCTTGTGTAATATTTACAAAATTAAACTTTCAACAGTAAGACTAGATTTACACTTGCCCAATTTTTTAACTTCTGAAAAATAAAAACATTGTTTAATTAGATAACAGTTTTAAATATTTTTAGTACCATGTGCAAAAACAAATTTTTAAATTAAAATATTATTTTTTACTAGTTATAATTTTCTAATGCTATTGAATTTATAGAAAAGGCAATTTTAATTTGACAATAGAGTATATTTGAGATATATTGAGATTGTCTATTACCTTTAAATTAACGAGCATAATCCATTACATTCATTAGGAAATGGACGTCACTGCACAATTTTCAATTTTTATCGGTGGGAATGTAGTGTAGGATGTCGACGGCTCCGCATCATCACCTGGCCCAAGTTGTCTGTTGGAGTGGCGTGAAAGCCGAATCGAAACCCGTCCTGGTGACAGGAGTGGATAACGGTGATGGCGTACCGGAAATGGTTACCGCTTGCTCATCATCCGCAGCCGTTTGTGTAGTAATAGGACTGTTAGGCTCTGATCTCTTGCCCATTATGGAATCTATACTGAAGCCAGTCGACGGCTGTTTTCCGGCAAGTCGACCAGTGACGTTCGTTATGGGATAAGACGACGGTGTTGTCACAGCGGGTTTAAACGATGGCGGCGGAAGTCCAGCGGCGGCAGCGGCGGCTGCAGCAGCAGCTACTTGCCCGTTGTGGAGCAAGTTCAGTCCAAAAGTGATACGAGCTAGTTCAGAAGGAGGCAACGGCAGTGGAACCGCAGGAGGCAATGGAGGAGGCGGAGGTCCTAAATGATGGTACGGATAATGATGGTGATGGTGGAGGACCGAGTAGGGGTCAGCAGAAAAATGATGTTGCGGCCCAGGTCCGCCCGGTGGACCGCCGTGATGATGGTGGTGGTGATCGCGAATTCCAAAGAAATCGGACGGTGTCTGCATACGTTTATACCTTTTGCGACGCCTCAAGAAACTGCCGTTGTCAAACATATCTTCAGCCATGGGGTCTAACGTCCAGTAGTTGCCCTTGCCCGGATTTCCAGGTTCCCGAGGGATTTTTATAAAACAGTCGTTGAGTGAAAGGTTGTGCCTGATTGAATTTTGCCAAGCCGGGAATTTATCTCTGTAGTACGGAAACCGAGACATGATAAATTCACATATTCCGCTTAGCGTAAGTTTCTTGTGCGGCGACTGAAGTATAGCCATAGTGATTAGCGCTATATAACTATATGGCGGTTTCACCGGTGATCCATTACCTCCCGACGACTGCTCCTTGTTGCCGCAATCGTCTTCGTCGTTTTCATCATCTTCTTTGCAGTTATTATTAGTGGCCGATGCGTTGTTGAACATGTCGTCGTCGTCGTCGTCGTCGTCGTCGGCTGAGTCTACATTGATATCAGTTGTTTCGGTTGAACCTAAGCTACAAGGTGGTGACGAAGAAGACGTTGGTGGTTGATGATGTGCTAAAGCTGCTGCGGCGGCGGCAGCGGCAGCGCCCATCAGAGAACCCGATCCGCCCCTGAGATCCAGTGGACTGGCCGCGTGTACTGCTTCCTGAAGAGCAGACTGATATCGACGGCTAAAATCGTACACAGGCAGGAACGCATTATGTCGATGATGCGCGTCGTCCTGCTGCATCATAGCGGTCGCGGCTCCGGTCACCACGCACATTTGACAACAGTTTCACACATAAAACGGTATAAAACCAATGTCGTAAAAGGATATTGATTCGATACTATAGAAACGGACAAACGATGTAAAATTATCGCGTTGTAAAGAGCAGTCACTGTCGTATTATGTTCAAGTACGCGTTCAACGCAATTAAACGGCACGTTTCGTTGCGGCGAGTGATATGGTTACTGAACGACCGAAATGAGAACAGCGACCGTAAGATAGAGTCGACAATGGGCGCGGTCTGAGGTGGGCGGCGACAAACTCGGCAATGGGCGTGTGTAGCGAAGGCGGTGGTAAGTGATCCTTTTGTGTACTTACACTGCACGGCACTCGTCCCTCGTGTCCGAGCCTAATAGTGTATACCTATAGACGGCACTACGATTGTGCTAACTAACCGTTTCAACCTCAATGCGGACAGTTCGGTCGCCGTTGCCGCGCCCCCATTTTCTCTTCTATCTCTCAATTCTTTGTACCGTTATTTACCGTATCCGCCATAGATTATAATGCAAATAATTATACAACGTCTAGCATGCTCACTCTCCCTTTCTCTGTGGCACCAGCCGTTTTAGGATCATAAGCTTTGAAGTCCAAGTGTACAACTTAACATACACGCCGACCTTCAAAGCTGTACACAGTTAACGTTTACGTGACACCCAAACAGAATAACTTTCAAAGATTTCGATTGATCACTTTTCATATAAACCGCAAAAAATATCGATTCTTTATAAATTCGATTAACTCGTACTGGAGTACGTTTGAAAAATAATAGAAAATTAGAATTCATAGATTTATTTGATCTAGTTAATTTGTCCTGCGATTGTTTGAAAAAGATTGACGAACGACACTACAGTGTCATATGAACATACATCGGTTAAATTTCTGCTTCGAATAAAAAATAAATGTTTTATTCAACACTAAACTATTGTTATTATAAGCATAGTTCAACACAGAGTAAAATAAAAAAATTACTCGATCATACTACGTTCCATCAAACGAGTTGTACAATTCAACATCAACGACTACAATATTTACATAAATGTCAATATTTCTGAGAACATGACAAATAAATAGTGTTTGAATAAAAGTTTTAACGCAGAACGCGTATTTATTATCAAACAAAAAAGTTTACAGAATACTCGGTACTGTTTCTAATTATTTTATTTGAACGATGATTTATAGCATTTGACAGTACTCTAAAGCGCATGCACGCGTAACACATTTATTTTTTTATCTCCGAGTCTTCTTATACCAATTGCTGCACATGGGCGACTGAATGACTGTTAAGTCATCGGATAATTTTAGAATATTAATTTAAATAGCTTAACTTTGGCTGACTACTCCGTGTTTGCAAATTAATACTATTGAAACTCTGTTTATTAGATGTAAAAATTCATACCGTTGATAAATGTGTAAAAAATAAACATCCTACTGAATGCAATTCCCTACATAATTATTTATAGTATGACATGGACTACGTATAAATACGTGATTTGTTTTGTTTAAAACAAATAAAAATCATAATATCATAAATAATTGTGAATATCAGTTTAATGTTTACAAAATAAAAGGTTTTACAGTGAAACAAACTTTTGGTATTGTTGTGTTATATATGTTTTAAGAGAAATCTAAATGAAATAAAATTACTTAAAAATGTATGTAACATAATTATCATAAACACATTTTTTTTTATTATTATCCCTTGCTCTACTCTTTCAATATTTCCTTTAAATTATAATAATTTTATTCATAGAATAATTATTTTTAATTAGATGCTTAATGTATAGATTTTTAAAATAATTGTTAATGACATGGTAAGAATGTAACCCTCCTTACATTCTTACCCGTCGAATATTTTCAATTAATAAGTAAATCATTACAAATATCATAAGCTAATGTAGCCGATATCTGTCATAAATAATCTAAACCTACGCTTCTGTTAAATTTTTTTATACTTTATTAAATAAATACGCGATTAAAAGTATAATATTTTCATAGAACTATTTTACGATTTTCATCTTAATAGAAAATTAAACAAATTAATACTTATAAATTTTTATTTAAATGTTGTGTTGTTAAAAGTGACAAAGAATATTAACTACTATTTGGCTATTAATTAATTATGATAGATCAATTAGTAACCGTAATAGTAGTAAATTAAAAATTTAGAATCTAACATCGTTGTGAAATAACCAAATTGACACGACTGCATGGAAAATTATATTTAATTATATTATATTAAATATAAAAATAATTTTATTTATTAAATAAAATAAATTACTCGTCCAGAGAGAATCAAAATTGATTCGCAAAGATTTTAAACGCTCGCATTCAGAAAAATTCATTTTTACATTAAAATGTTGATATTGGAAATAAATATTCCTCAAAAATCTTTTAGTATCGAAGACTATATAAAGTGCATAATTTAGATTCATCAATATTTTTTTTATGTTGGATAAAGATAAAAAAATTTATAAGAAAGTATGAACAAATATGTCATTACTAAGATCATGATCTATTATTAACTTGTCAAAACATTCAACTATCCCTTTGATAATTATGGTGCTAACAGCGCACACGAGTGATAGTTTCGACTTCAAAGATGATTATGCCTTAAATCAATAAAACAGTTTGTTGTTTAATCTACGATTTAATTAATTCATAATTAATGTGAAGAGACTGACATCAATCGGAATTTATTCTAAGTTAGCAATAACATGTAGACATGAAGTTTGTGAATTTTCTCGTTTCGATTTACAGTCTAAGAAAACAATAAACTGAAGTTGTCACGAATACAAATAATATTAAGGTAAGTCAAATAAAGTTTTCGGGCGTTGTATTTTGAACTCCGCAATTCTAGGAATCGGAAATAGTATAGAAACGTTGTGGCTGAGCAAGTATGATCAGATAAGTACAAAGGGAAGTATGCGACACGGTAGTAGTTTATGCTTCAGCGGTGGACGTTGTGACCTCTTGATCATTTTTCTCTACACAAATGCTGCCAAACAAATCTGTATAATGCACATGTCTATACAGTGTATATATGCCATACAAATTATACAGCATCTATTCTATACAATGACAATTGCTTCGATTAACTGTTCGGCGGTTGTATGCAACACCTATAACATTAAGTAAAGCCTCGCCCCTCGACGGGTTACCATCCGCCAATGGCTCGCGCGGTTACATTGTATCGGCCGCCCTATCGAAACACAAATACTTGTCTAGTTTGTAGTCTCTATACTTTAGTGTCACTCTCTAGTGATTACGAACAACTACTTTTTATCAATACACAGGTGCGCTCAATTCAAAACATACTGTTGCTTAACTTATAATTATGCAACAAACACTTTAATTGTTAGTCGGTTTGTAAAGAATGTTCATTTACATATTTTACGATTATCTTCAACATAATTTACTCCCAATATAAAAAGGAAAGTAGCCTATATAAATCCTATAACTTTTATCATTATGATTTGTCAAAACTCTGTCAACTAATCTGCACATTTAACGTCAGTTCGACTTGACGTGTTGAAATGGCTCAAGTCAAAGTAAATTGTTTTGTATCTAATTGAAGTATTTCCTTTAATCGAACAATCTAGTGGTTTTTTTCATTTGTTAAGTTAGGATTACTTGAATAAAATTTGCGAGTAAAAACTTTCTATCTGTAAAGTTATTTTACTTTTTTCAATCACCATCCTATCATACTGGTAAATTATTAAAATTTGGATCAAGAATATTTTAAGATATTGTGGATTTTAAAAGCCATTTCCTTTTAAAATTAGTAATTCTTGTGTATTTCGATCCTGGGATTACCAATGTGTATTCAAATTGATTTGGATTTAATACTTTATGTCATTATGAAACTGATTGTTTTTACCGCTGCGGTAAATCAAATGTTTGCCGTTTGCGCCGACAGCTAATGTAATAGTTGCTATCCTAATTAGACGCGGTTTGTGTAAAACGATACGTTCAGTCGTGGATATGTTTTTAACGTTAAAACATTATGTGCTGGGACACGAAACTGACATTCTGTGAGCATATCGTGTGCCCCAAATCACATTAGCAAGAATGTACCATGGGCTCAGTGTAAATCAATATGTACGTATAAAACGAACCATCACCATAAAACAATGTTTATGGACGGCCCTCTTTCTTTATGAGTGCCGATATTCAGCTTGTGTACACATATTTTTATACATGTGTATACATATTATTGTAAATGAGAGAGAGCCGGACGGTCTGCTAGTGTGGGCTCGGACGGTCCCTTTGACCATATTTCGCATATAGGCGACTTAACACTTCTTGACAGGTCGACCCCCTGTGAGGTGGCCGCGTGTTCATTATTCATTGGCCTGCACACGCTCACTAAGATTGTGATATTCAGCGGTATAGAAACCGATTATGAAATTAATAACATGAACTATTAATATTGTCCATTGTCATCGATATTGATGTTTGCAATGGATTACCAAAACTAAATCAAATACATTTATATTGTAATCAAACAATATTATTATCATGGTTGTATAGTACACGATAATAAACCATAACGGTATCGAGTTAATTGAATTAAAATTTCAATTTTTTCAAAACGACTAAACATTGTAGGNTGGTACTACTGGAGTACGTTTGAAAAATAATAGAAAATTAGAATTCATAGATTTATTTGATCTAGTTAATTTGTCCTGCGATTGTTTGAAAAAGATTGACGAACGACACTACAGTGTATATGAACATACATCGGTTAAATTTCTGCTTCGAATAAAAAATAAATGTTTTATTCAACACTAAACTATTGTTATTATAAGCANGTAGTGTCATATGAACATACATCGGTTAAATTTCTGCTTCGAATAAAAAATAAATGTTTTATTCAACACTAAACTATTGTTATTATAAGCATAGTTCAACACAGAGTAAAATAAAAAAATTACTCGATCATACTACGTTCCATCAAACGAGTTGTACAATTCAACATCAACGACTACAATATTTACATAAATGTCAATATTTCTGAGAACATGACAAATAAATAGTGTTTGAATAAAAGTTTTAACGCAGAACGCGTATTTATTATCAAACAAAAAAGTTTACAGAATACTCGGTACTGTTTCTAATTATTTTATTTGAACGATGATTTATAGCATTTGACAGTACTCTAAAGCGCATGCACGCGTAACACATTTATTTTTTTATCTCCGAGTCTTCTTATACCAATTGCTGCACATGGGCGACTGAATGACTGTTAAGTCATCGGATAATTTTAGAATATTAATTTAAATAGCTTAACTTTGGCTGACTACTCCGTGTTTGCAAATTAATACTATTGAAACTCTGTTTATTAGATGTAAAAATTCATACCGTTGATAAATGTGTAAAAAATAAACATCCTACTGAATGCAATTCCCTACATAATTATTTATAGTATGACATGGACTACGTATAAATACGTGATTTGTTTTGTTTAAAACAAATAAAAATCATAATATCATAAATA